TTAGCAACTTCAAGTTCCTATGTACCTTCATCACTAATGATATAACATGATCCCAGCATGTAACTGGTGCTACAAAGAACAGCGCCTTTACTTCCTCAGACAGCTGAGAAAATTTTGGTCTGTCTTCAGCTGTGCTTACCACATTTCACAGGTGTGCCATTGAGTGTGTGCTCACATGTCGTGTGGTTTGACAGCGGCACTTTTCATCCCCCTTCCCTCTGGTAAGTGTTATAAGAGCATAAAGGCATGAACCTCCAGTTTCTTCCCACAAACTTTCAAGATTACTGAATTCTACCCCTACCACTGACTCACGCTAATGTTTTGTTGTCACACTGCTTGTCTGACTTTTTCTTAAAGTTGTTTGTTATTTAATTTGTTGTTTTTGCTGCTGCTGTTCCCTTAATGTCTTTGTATGAGAGCATACATGCAAATAAGCATTTATTTGCACTTGTGTATATAACAGGTAAACTGAACTGAACTAATATTCTGGTATTGAGGGGTGGACAACATTTTGTTTTTTCACCTGAGGCATTACGATCATGCGGTACTGTAGTTACTTGAGGTGGAACAAATTTACTTTTTCTCCTGGCTCATACTGGTATCCAAAGTCTTCTTTAGATCTTCGAATCACCTCAGCTGAGAAGTTCATGTACCTCTCGTTGTCAGGTTTGTACAGGGTGAGAAGGAACAGAGCTTGGTAAGCTTCTCTTGCTATTGAGTCATAAGCATCTCCTGGGAAAGAAGGGTACATTTCTCATTCCAGCTGAAAATGAAATACGCTTCCTCTCAAATTAAAATGCATTTCTTTTTGAACCCACAACACCTCTGGGCCAAACACCCACAGAGAAAGAAACTCACATTTGCTTGAGCAGGCATATGTGTCCTTATAAAAAACATACAGAGTTGAATTCCCATGCTGAAAAGTAGAAAGGAAGGAGAAGAAATACACAGTTTGGGCCATGCAGGTGTGAAGGGGAGTTACGCACCCCGATGATCTACGGGTATATGGAGTGCGACATTAAGGGAATTCCAGGTGTGCAGGAAGAAGTCTTTGGTGTGGGGGAAAAGATAGTTGTAATGAACTTGGATAGGTAATCAGAAGTGAAATATGAATAATTTGAACATGTGACTGGTATGGGGGTAAAGGAAAACACAAATTCGGGAAAAGGAAAGGAAGGAGCTGGCTAATTAAGTGAGGGGTAGCTGACCTAACTACAAAACAAAGCCCGAAACACCCAGTCTTCGGTGTCTAACACCCTGGCTAACCTACTGTATACTGACTACCCAAACCATACAAGACAAAAGACACTCACCCGTACTTAACTAGTGTTTCTAATACAAAGACAAACTACATGTGTAGAATGTACCTGGCAACCTTAACGAACCCTTCGGCAAAAGTTCCCACAAATACACAAACAAGTGAGCTACGAATACTAATAAGGGAAAACAAGTGTATACACAAGGAATAGGGTACAAAAGAGTTTGATATATATTTTAACACGTTTGTGCAAGGTAATGGGGAATAAAGGATAATACAAACAAACAAAAGTACAAGGAGGAGACGAACACAAACCAACAAAGCTGAAGCTATATGGAAACACACATACGAAGCGAAACGAACAAAAACAAAGAGAGACGAAGCCAAAGCAAAACGTAAGCGAATCCGAAGCCGAGCAGAACCGAAGTCGAGCGAATGCCCCCGTACGTTCTGAAAGCTAAATCCCGAAAGATCTGAGTTCTGACTGGTTGAGAAGCTGATTGTGAATGACTTAATACGGCAAAGTGGATGAATTAATGAACCAATGGGGAGGGAGAACAACCAAAGTCAGGAAGTGTGGAACATAGAAACAAAACGCACATGGACCACACTGGGACGGAACAAGGGGAGACCTAGAATGTGAAGCAAGGGGGTTGGTAAGGAGGACAAAGAATTCATTTATTAAAACTGGACACAGGAGGTGAGAAAGTGCCAAAAAATGGAAAACAAGCGTATGTCCATTCATTTGGACCCTCCTACGTCTTCTTATTTCTTCCACTTTTCAAACTAGAGTTAAGTTACTCCTCTGCAGCTTGCACCCAGACACAGCTCCCCCTCCAGCCTTGCATCTCTTAAGGCAAAGTGCCCAATTGTACAACCTACCTCTTCTCCAGTCAAAAATGCCAAACATCTGTTTCTGTTCATAGGGCTCAAAGCAGAAAAAAACATACTCTCCGTTGATTAAACCTTGATTATGGGCCTCAATGAGGAAGTTTCTCACCATTTCTCCTTTTGCTGATATCACAATAACTGGAGAAATATAAAATTACATTAATTAAAATGTCATTTAGGTATTTAATTTGCATACACTTTGCCAAAAGTGAACTATTGTGTCGTATGTCTGAATACACGTTCATAATAAACTAGGTTCTAAAATTTTGAGATCACTCAACAAGGAATTATTTCTAACAAAGCCAAAGAGCCAAAATTACAATGATCCTATATTGCAGTTCATGCTTCCTATAGTAGCTATCCACTTATGTGTTTTACACTTAATTGATGGCTTAATTCAATGTACTTATACTGTATAGCATCTTTCATCTCAAGGGGTCCCAAAGTGCATTAGAAAACTGTACAGGAGGGGACAGTTCATCCGCCACTGAAATTCAACAACCACATGGTGATGCAACCATTATATGCCAGCAGCCCCACCCACTACACAGTCAATTAAGGGGAAAAAGTGAGAGCCAATCACATTAAGGGAGGAATTTAGAAGGGAATCTTGCCCAGGGTGAATTTTAGCCTGGACACTTGAGGTTAACTCTCCTACTATTACGAACAATGCCATGGGATGTTCAAAGACTAAGCACAAGATTCCAATTTAAAGTTTCCCCCCAAAGTAGGCACCTCCTACAACACAGTGTTACACTGGGAAGTGTGGAGGGAAGAACACCACCTACTGCTCTAACTTCAGCAACTATTATAACTTCAGCACCTTAAAAGCCAGCAGGTCTTCTTCATATTCCACAAATTAATAAAATAACAGTTGGCGGTAAAGCCTTTAGTTACAGGGCCTACTCACACCTTACATTATAGCCTGCTTCAACCATGGCTGCTGGTGCTGCTGTACATGCCATTGTGTGTCTCTATGTTGGCCCACCAGGTAGATACATCTGTTCTGACCAAACTATCCTATACTCCTCCCCACATGTCCAGATGGTGCCCAGGCTTGGTACTATCTTAGTTGGATGTTGCATCACTGCCATGGATCCAAGAGGGACATTGTGGATATAGCTATCATTTAGGAGGAATTTACTGGTTTACAGAGATCTGTATGGAATACCAACACACAGAAGACATGATGGATGGATGGATTAATACCCTCATCGTTTCCTTTTTTTTAATAATATAATGTTAGCATGCCCAAAGGGGTTGGGCAACCAGTTGACCTTGGACCCCTAGAGGTTTTTTTTCCTACTAAGGAGTTTTTGGTTCCTCTCCTCCATTGTCTTCTGGTCTTCTGTTCTGTATTGACAAAATGTATCGTCAATTGCATTGTTAAGCGCCTTGGGGCAACCTTGTTGTGAAAGGTGCTATATAAAAATAAATTGAATTGAATTGAATTGAATGCTGTACTAGCTTGTTAAGACCACTTACTGTATATCAACCCTGATTTCCTCAAAGATTCCCCATCCTGGTAATGACCACAACCAGCATTGCTCAGCTTCTGATATCTGATGAGTTTAGGCTAGCAGGTAAAGGGCATGTCTTTATCCAGCTATTTACATTTTCTCACGTGTTCTAAATTTCCCTGTGCTCCATGGTAAAATTGCACACTTGCTGAAACCTTTTACCTTAACCTGGGGCCACCTGTAGCACAGCCCACTACATCTTTCATAAAGAGGTGTGGACCCTGGCTGTTCAACTCAAACCACATAAACTCTAAAAACACAATGGGCCATGAACATCTCTGTGGTCCCATCTTGAGTGATTTAAATTTCAGATTTACAACAGATCACTAAAGGTACAGCATACATACTTTGAAGAGAGATAGTTATAAGAAACAAAGTCTCGGTTACAGTTTAATTGCAGTGTTTAAAGTAAGGTTTGCAGGGTACAAACGGTGATGGTGCAGAAATTATAGACTTTTTGTAGGTATTATTTGGATGCGATTGTCCTTTAGGTTTATACTGTAGCTGATGTGTGCCATCAGTCAAGCGTGGTGATGGCTGCTTTTGAATCAACTCTATACTTTACCTTTTTGGCTTTTTCAAGCAATGACTTGAGTATTAACACAGTTGATACTGCTACTTTATTCAGACAAAAAGTTGAACAAATTATATTTCACTATGAACGACAACACCGAAGATCAAAGCTTGATGGACTATTATGGAGCGGATATTGGCTTAACCCGCTTGGCTGAGGGCCGACCTCCTGGCCATAGGACGAGGAGGACAGGACCCCCCACGCAGGGTAACCAAGGAGTAGCTGAAGAGTTGGGGTGGAGGAGGGATGCAAAAGACATATGCGAGGGAGAGTAGGAAATCACGTTGGTATGTATAGCCTTTGGTGGAGGAAGGATGATGGAAGTGATTGCTAATTACTGACTGCTGAGTACGATTGAGTTTGGTTGTTGTCATCCCTCCTGCACTTTCCTTATAAACTCCATGCCATGTATCAGAAGAGCAACACAGAATGTATCTTTTAGAGAAATTGCACTTTATAAAGAATATTGCATGAGCTTTGTGCAGACTAGGGGGCAGAAAGCGTTTTAATTGCATCATTTTTTTAATGGCCCAACATCTGTGCTGTAAACACAGGTAATCTATTCAGACAAGTGAAGCATAAGAAATTAGAGCTGTTTATCCCAGTAGGCATGATGGTTATCTGGGGAAAATTGAATGACTGTGATATCCACTGGATAAGCATGGTACTTTGAACAAATATTAATCAATGCTGAAAGTGCTTCTCACAGTGGGTGAAAATCAATAGACATGCATCTATTCTGGTTTTACGATGAGTGGATTAACTCTTCTAAAGACAACTCAAAATAACTGTCTTTTTTGCTGTTCCAGGCAAAATGCTAAGCTTTTTTTGCAAGGAAGGCATATATAATTTCATGGGCTGTGCACACTTTAGAATATGTCAGTTGTGATTATTATTGAAGCATTCGAAAACATTTCGTTTAGATTTACTGGGGTATCAGAGTTTAGCAGTTGTTGGAGGTTTGCATTCCTGGATATTTCATTGATCGAAAAGGTAGCTGATTTCAGCACTTTGAAGCCTAACTGCATCATTGTCTCCATTTGCTTCAGACATACTTAACATGACTTAAAATGATGACAGAGCACAATTGCTCCAGGACTGGTTTTAGACATTAATCCCACTGTGATAGGCCTGTGATGGAATATTGATCTTGAGTAAAGAGCACAGTAGCCCTGGTACAAATGTTAGAAGACAAAAGCCTATGGCCTTTATTCTTTAAATTTCAATTGTATTCCTGTTGTGTACGTTTGCAGGAATGCAGTATATAATCCCCTATTCCTATAAGCCCTCTATTGCTCCTTGAGAATACATTATAAAAAATCAAGAAAGGAGAAATGGAGTGCTACATGGACATATACTGTATTTGGTCATTGTTTCAGAGTGATGTATGTTCAGAGAGACTCATTAGTTTTGTTTGTTTTGCACGGTTTGTAATGAAGTCATAAACAACTATTTCCTAGTGTGTTTTCTTGTACAGAATCATACCTATTATAAGATCCAGCCCATTTAATGTAAAAAAAATGGGTAGAAAAAGAAATGTTATTAAAAAGGAAATGTATCTTCTTGATTGTTGGCCTATCAGTTTCATATCTTAATGGCCCATTGTTAGACTCCATGGACATAACTTCAGAAATTAGGCTGAGTGGTTTGTTCCCAATAGTTAATGACTCTTTATGTAAAAAACTACCTCCTGCTTACAGTTACTAAACATTGTCTACTATTCACATCCTACTATTCACCCTACTGTCCTTTGTTCCTTGTTACTTCTTAATATATTTGGTTGACTTCATTGGATTCTGGATGTTTATAATCTATAATATATGTACTGTACTGTACATAAATATATACTTCATTTCTCATAGCTCTCATACTCCTCCTCTTAAGGGCGCTCCAGCCCTTCCTCGTTCTTTCCTATTACCTACACCTGTTCCCTATTTCCATTCCACCTTAAAAGCCAGACGCAGACGTCACCCGATGTTCCTCATTGAATTCCGCTTCGTGAGAGCCCGGGGTCCCGCTGCGTCTGGCTCCGTTATGGTTTTAACCTTCTGTTCCCGATTCCCTGCCCCGCCGGTCCCGACCAGGTTCATGGTCTTATTTCTGGATGGATCCCCTGGCCTTGGACTCTACCTGCTGTCTTACCCGTTTGGATTTTCTCATGGACTGTTCGCCCCGGATTCACTCTCCCTGGACACCTGCACCCCTCGGACACTCCCCCTGTCTCCAGACCCTCAAGAGTAAAGATATTCTATCCTATATTCTTCTAGTCTATCAATTTATACATAGCATGAGTTTAGTAGTATCAGACTTTGACCGATGCTACTAAAATGATGGAAAGAACCAGTATCAGAATTAACTAGACCCTGTACCGTATGTGTAAGGAATGGTAAATGAATATCTGTACATAAAAAAAAAACATCCACTATTTAACATTAGCCATATTCATCTGTATATTTAGCTATTCTAATAGTACTGTAAGCATGCTGTACATCAGCAGCAATTACATACTTGGAAAAAAATGACATAGTAATAATAATCCCTTAGTCCATACCTACCTCAAGCAGAATTTTGGGCACTTATTTGAAATGCCATAGAGGTTAAAGAAAAATGTTTACTCACTGCGAGACACAGCAGACACAACCTTTAGGTCACTTCCTAGTGTGACAGAAGTGTTGTAGGTATCTCCTTCACCAGAGTGAATGTCTTGATATATAGCCACTGTAATATTTTGTTGTTCTGCAGCAAATCTGTACCAGTTAATCATGAAAGACAAAAAGGATTATTTTGGGGATTCATCCACTGTTGTAGTGGATCACTTAATTAACATCTATTTTGCAAGAATATTTCAACATCTGTCAACATCTGTTTTGTGCCATAAATTACACATTATCAACCTCTTCATTTTTATTCACTCTCATTTTCACAACATATTTTAAATAAGTTCAAGTAGGTAGCGGCGTCAGCATGTGTAGACTACATAGGAACAAGTAAAGATTTATTCCATGCTGAAGACACCCGAAGAAGTCTTCACAGCCGAAACGTCTTTCTTTTCTTCTCTTTTCAGCAGGGAATAAACCTTTCCTTGCTCCATATTTTAATTAAACTGTTCTCTATCTCCAAATATTAAATGGGCACATTAAGATAGGGATTCAGCAGATAAGACATTAAACCAATGTCTAGAACTTTTTTAATGAAGAAGATCCCATGATACTTTTTATAAGAGTCAGAGTTATTTCACTGTAGGCTTACATACTGTAATCTGGCCCTTAATTCAGTTCAGCAGTTTTAATAAATGATAATTAATACAGTACAGAGTCCAAATGTATTGAGTTTATTCTGTTATTTTAGTGTTATTTGGTATGATTTGCCTGGCTGAGTGAATAGCAGCAAGCCCAAAGGACAAGGCTGGCCAGACCTCCCTATGTTTAGAAGGAATGAGCCAGGGAGCTGCTATAAGGGTGAATTAACCTCATGGGGGATGAGTAAAAGATGGTTGGAGAGTCCATCGACTAGTGAGGGGGATGCACAGAAACAACAGGATGAAAGGTAAGGTCTGCCTCTGTGGTCTAACGCATCTCCTGAGTGTGAGAAAGAAGCTCAAAGGGTGCTTAGGATGCAAGATATTTATACCTAGGCGAGCAGAAGGGGGGGGAGATTAGAAATTCAACCTCTTCCTGAGCCTCTGTGTAAAATCAGAGAATGGTTACAAACAAGAGAAGCCATTCAGTCCACGTAGCCCTGTGTGGTTTTGCTGCTGCTGCATAATGGTTGCCACCTGTCAGCCTGCTGTAAACTGTGAAATGCTACATAAATGTCAGATATTATTATTATTATCATTATTATTATTATTATTATTATTATTTTTATCGTTGTTGCTGCTTTTTGTACTACAAAGAACAGAAAATCAACCTCACTTTTGTAGGGTCAAGTAGCCACAAATTATTATTATTATTTTATTCCTCTGTATCTTCTAAATTGACTGAAAGTAAACAGTTTCCATGTTTCCATGTTATAAATAGTCTCAACAAAAACATTTGACTTCTTTTTTCCCAACCCTATTTTTTTATAGATTCCATTTACACAGATTTTGTTGCTGTATTGTTTATCCAAAATATCAACTAATCCGACATACAGTATAATCTTTTAGAATACAGTAAGAGAACCCTTATAATAGCAACAGAAGATTCTGTCTACAAACTGTACTTAGTTTCAATTGCATAAATGTTGTTATAAATAACTGAACTGTGGTAAAATAAAAGTGGCTAAATTACCTCTGAAAGTACTTAGTCTTCTAGTTTAAAGTGTACTTAACTTAAGTTCTTAATTTAATAATTCTTTATGTAAGGGATAAGAGGTATTCCAGTAAATCTTAATTTCAATCTAGACCAAAAAAGCAGAAGTTTTCACCAATTTGGCTGAGATTTGCAATCAGGTTTTGAGAAACATTGATGGCCTCAACATGAAGGGCTAACTTGACCTCCATCTTAAAACAATCATTTCCCCTTGAATTAGGGTACCCATAATACCAAAGGACACTCATCACCCTTCAAACATATTATAATCTAAAATGAAGTAAAGGACAAAATCCCTTGAAACCTACAGTATAACAAACCTAGCAACAATGCATTCACATACACAGTTCCTCCTGTTTTTACCTGATTCCTCCAGCTGGGATGGTCCAAGTAGGACTAGTATCATAGATTATTCCAATGCGCCTCCAATTAAACTTTTCACAGATCTTGACAAAGAATGACCCCATTTTGGTAAAAGGACCAAACACTCTGGTCATTGTAGGAAATTCCTAAAGGTGAACAGAGAAAATAACAGGAATAAACCTGAAAATAGACTTGTGTATAACTTTGTGATTAAAGAATGATTCTGAATTATTTTTTAGACATTTTTAAACAAATGTACAAATACTTAGGGATCCATTGTTTTTAAGATTATATCACTCAAATGCAGTTACCTTTTTATCCAGAAATTCTGAGTCTGCACAGATTGGACTGACCACTGCAATGTTCCAGTAACCAGCAAGCCTGCCTACATGGGAGCATACCTAAGGAAAGAGCACACCAAAGATCTCCCTCCAATCAAAAGAACCATCCCCACATCAAGTCTGCACAAGAGGCTCTTCATAGACCTTAACATTATAAACATCCATCCCGAAGCAATGAACAAACGTAGCTGAAATGAACTAAATGTCAATAACATAGGGGGTATCTGGAAAAAAAAACTTCATAAGAGAATTTCAATCAGAACTGAGTACAACATCAAAGATATTCCTTGATCTAATGAGAAGTACTATATGTCCGTAGTGTGTATAGTGTGTATATCATATGTACTGCCTAGCAAAAGTACTCATCCCCTTCCAGCGATGTCCCATTGTATTAAATGAGAGTGACCATACAGAAAATTAAAATCTTTTATTGCTTACCTTTGAGCAAGATGGGCCTATGAAAGCACTGTAGTTTTGATTATGTTGTAGGCTTACAATTTTTCCTGGTCCTCTAATCGCATCACATTCATCATCGACATATTCATACACCAATCGGTGACCTAGGAGATATACCACAATAAGACAGAGTTTAGAGTTGACAACTCATGGACAATTTAGATGGATCCCGTGTATATCCATCCATTTTGTGGCCTTTCTCTTTGACATGTACTGTAGCTGTACGGGCTTGTGGGTTTTCTTCTTCACAGTAGTGTAGATGATTTTCAGCAAGCTCCACAGGTAAAGGTGGAGGCTGGTTTTCAAGCCCAGATCAAAATATTTATTGAGCATTAACCAGCAATTAATAGAGGCTCTTGTGTTCCACTAGATCTTCATCCAACCCTGTGTGGTATAGGGCAGTGCCTCCACTAACTGCTTCTGGACAACTCTCTCCAGCATTTTTCCTGGACAGCTCTTCCAGACACACCCAGCAGTGGCCAGCGTCAAGCAGGAACTGAGTGAAGCCATGCAGTCTAGAACCGTCATCAAAGTATAGGACACTGATGTCTGGCTTTGCCCTTTGCAGTCCGGCCCCATCCAGGACAGGACACTTCCATTTTTAAATTTTGGGACATTGGCTGCATCTTCTCCTGATGATGTGCCTGTGTGTTTTCAGGCCATCCAACCCCCCCTGCTGTTCTCTCGACTATCATGATGAAAGCCTCAGAGCTGTCTCATGGTCCAATCTTCAGGTTCTTCGTCCATCCCAAGTCTGCTCCCACTTCTGAAGATGTGGGTGATCCCCTCTGGAGCACCAGAGCTTCCATTAATTGTTGGTTAATGCTCTATAGGTATTTAGACCTGGGCTTGAAAACCGACCTCCACCATTACAAGACTTTCCAACATTGTCCTCTCCACCCAGCCTGATCTCTAGGTTCACCGTTTCCAAACTTTCCAGCTGAACACCACAGTGTGAGAGGGGAAAAGTTAGAAGGGAAGAACACACCATGGTGCTCTTTATTCTTTTTGACAACAAAGAAGAAAGCAGGAAAAAATCTAATTCAGCAAGAAAGCTGCAGTTGCAGTTTTCTATCTTCTGATATCAGTCCTTTGGCATTAACTGATTTAATTTTTTGCAGTTAAGTTTTTTTAAAATGTAAACATTTTATTTTCACTGATTCTAAGTCAAGGTTCTTCAGTCCTTATTGTGTGCCCACTACCTGGTGGTTTTACATTTACTAAAGGTGTGAAATTGATATATCATTTTTGTAATATATATCTAAATTTCTAAGCTTAATATGTATCTCCTGAAACGGCATAGCTTGAGACTAATGAATTTCTTGCAAGTTCCTTGACACAGGATGTGTATACTGTATCTCTAACAAGGAGCTTTAAATAGCTTAATCTGGATCAGTGCCATCTGAAGTATCATTTATAAAACCTTGAACGTGTTTCCTGTAATGTTTCCAATATTTGAAAGCTTGATGCTGCCATACTTAAATAGTTTAATATGACACACGTGCATAAAGCAATTCTCTTATTGTGACATGGTGAAGGTTTCCAATAGCTGAGCTGTCCATCCATTATGGTGACATTCATAGCAATAACTTCCTTTGTCACCCCATTCCTGTGCAGCTGTCATTGCTCCTAGGATGCGGCAATAGATTGAACAGATACAAAAATGCAGTTTCTAAGTCATAATACATTAGATTAAAGTTACCATATTGTGCACCATGACTAGAACACTTAATTTACATTACCACTGAAAAATAATCATGTAATTCCATTACTGGCAAAACAATTACAGTAATCAAAATGCAATTTTAGGAATGCATATACAGTAGATAAGCTGTTTTGCTTGATTTCAGCATCATATGGTAACCATCTATAATATAAAATATTGTAACGCAACGGGGGCCTCAGGCGGGCGCCCTTGCCGCATCTGGTCGGCCCCATGCCGACTGGAGGCTCGAACCCGGGACTTCCGTGTCTCTCTGCAGCGACCTAGCCCCGTGAGCTAAATAGAGATCTCTCTACAGCCCAGTAGCTGTAGTCCTGCTATCACAGGGAAGGGCGGTGACGACCCGCTCTGGTACACCGGCTCTTACACACAGTGCTTGTCGGCCGTAAGCGTTACAATATGCACTCTTACGAGCCAGTTTTTAAGCTGAAGTCAATAACTTTTACACTGTTCGTCAAAGTCTATATTATTGTGCAAGGCCAAGGTGTTCCTTGTGTAAATACAGCATTTATTCATCACAGCGAGCTTTTTGTTCTCTTTTGGGTAGAACATCAACTGACCCTTTAATAGGATAGAATTCCTGTTGATCTCATCGATAGCAATAAGGGCTCCAGCTCCAATTCTTCCCACATGGAACTGAGAGGAGGTATTAGGCATGGAGATTAGCAGTTTGAAATCCAGCCCCTCACCCCAGCGTGCAAAGGCCAAAAGAACCACAGAAAGGACTTCCATTTGCTGCTGCAAATCCTAAAATGAAACATTAACTTAAGGTACACCCTCAGAACAATCTCTTACTTTTCAATTATTTATATTTTAAAAACACTAACGCAGCTTTGTATTATGTATTATTTCTCACTTTCAAAATAAGGTACCTTTTGCATATTATTTTACACATTTTATTTTTCATCTTTAAAAACAAATCTCAATATAATATTACGAGATAAGATTAATATAACAAATTTGCCAGACAATAGTTCTTAAAAGAATATCCTCGATGTTTTTAATCCGATATTAAAGTACAAGTATACAAGTATTCTTGCTGATAAAAGCTTTTTAAAATATGTAATAACTAGATTTAATTCCCAGGATTTCCGTGACACTGTATTAATATCCTATTTTTCAAATGTACCCCCGCCCTTGCAAAATCCCTCTAAGCTTTTGAAACTTTTTATTCCAGATACAAATGCATTGTAACAGCTGCCAGTGATGTACTGTATTGTGGTATAAGACAGCTGTACAAGTAAATAGGAGTGGAGCAAAACAAATGAAGGTTTTTGAATAACTAACATAGAAACACATCGATACTGTGGGTATCAATAAGAAGTATGATACAGATACAGATTACAGAAATTTGGGAACTGCAAGGGCAGGGCATAAAAATGAAAAAATACTGCACAGATCCAATGCAGCAGACCTTTATAAGGATAATAAATATTTTGGGGTAAGAGTATTTTTTGGCAGAGGAATATTAAAAGTATTTTACTAAATTCAGTTGACTTTCCTATTAATTGTACTGTATATAGCTAAAAAGAGATACCTTTTCCAAAGGCACTCTAAATGTAGTACAGTATATTACATAACATATGTACTAAAATTTCAGTAGTTCATTTCTCCATATAACAATAACCAGATGTACAGTACATAAAACATTTCAACAACAGTTAAAAAGAACAATGGGCAGTTTAAACTTTTCATGCCACAGCTCAGTTCCATTTCATTTTATTTAAATGCTACTTACCACCTTTTTCACAAAAGAACAGAGTTTCTTCGTAACTGAGTGGAATTCCCTCCAAAAAATGCTTCAGTAAATCAGCTTCAGGTGCGGACTGATCAGTGTGCCAGGTGAAGAGCAGCCCAGGTTTCTGGTTAGCCTGTACTTCACTATGTTTTAAATCCCCCATGTATTCCACTCTTACGAGCCAATCTGTGAGCCATAACACATTTTAAGCGTGTCTACAATTCACTTTGAGAAAGAACAGCATACCACACAGACATTGTCGATTTGTTTAGCTCATCAATGTGAGAACATAAACAGTTCATATGAACATTTACGGAAACTCTTAAGGCGGTGAAAGTAAAAATAGAAAAAAAGCTACTTAACAATGGCATTGTGTATTTTTTAGCCACTGTAAATAGAAAGCCATGTTTGGAAAGAAGACCCGTTGAATCTAGAAGCATGCAGTACATGCAGTAGCAGAAACAAAGTATGAATGGAGCTGACGCTTTCCAGTAAATCTTAATGGCATTCTGAGCCCCTGTCTGCAAAACTGTAGTCCCCTCCTGGCACAGAATATCCATGGGGAATTCCAGGGAAATGGGATTTATGAAGATACTTTTGTGGGATTCGCAAAGGATAATTCTCGTCTTTCATTTAGGGTACAGAGAATATCAGGAGGATTAAAACTTAATTTGACTTGTTTTTTCAGAAGAACTGGGATCAGTGCATTTGCATTAGGCCCTAGTGTGAGTGTGTGTTTGTGTGTATCTGTGTGTCTGCCCTGCGATGGACTGGTGTCCCGTCCAGGGAGCATCCTGCCTTGTGCCCATTGCTTCCTGGGATAAGCTTCAGCTCCCCCACAACCCGGAATAGGATGAAGCAACAAGAAAATGGATGAAGCGATCAATTAAGATCACTTTATTGGCCATATACAATTTCCTGAATTAGGAATAAGTCTTTTCACATACCCTAACTCACTCTCCATGAGACACACAGACGGGGAGAGAGAAGCTTGGGGTCAGAGCGCAGGGTCAGTCATTTACTGTATATGTCAGGGACATCCAAAGGGACTAACCTTGGGGAGCAGGAGAGCGGAAAAAGACCCATATGTGTAGTGGCGAGACGGGAAAAAGGCCCGGGCTCATAGTGCAAAGAGTTCAGGAATGCCGAATAGAAACCAATGCCCTCAGGGAGCGGACGTGGGGCGCCCTGGTGCTAGTCAGGTCTCAGGACATCCGAACGTCAATGCTGAGCGAGGACAGAGTG